CAGGACGGTGATGTGAGGTTGGGGGGGGGGGGGGGGGGGGAGGCTTGACCCCCTCTGGATAAACTTGAGCTGCAGACGGTTGAGACTGTTGAGATTAGGATGGAGCCAGGTTTGTTACACAGCAGATCTGAAGGGCGACACGTGCAGCTTGTCTTTTATAACTCCTCAAACAAAACTGCACTTTTTGTGTTTTTCACCACTTCCCTTGAGCAAACCCCCCAAAAAGAAAGAGAAGAGCTGAAAAACATGCCTTAAATGTTTCTGAAGGGTGACTTCTAAAAATGTGTTTTAGGGTGTTTATTTTGAACTTATTACATTTTAGTTTATTGTTTAGTTATTAACACACGGTCAACAATGCAATGAAATGTTCAGGATGAGAAGAACCGTTTCGACTCAGTAAAAACACAAGAAATATTCCAGCATGCAATAAAAATACAAAATAAAGTGCCAGAAAGTGAAAAATTAATATCATATTTACAAGGTCCACTTTAAGGCATTTAAATCCCTTTTGTCATTAATAACAACGCTGCAGATATTAATCCTGAATTTTTATTATTAAGAATGTATAGCACTAGCAGCGGGAAATGAAATGCATATTGAGAATAAAAATTATCCGATAAACTATTTATTTTTTACACTGTTAGTTATAAAATATTTAAAGCATAAACGACAACCAGACAATTTATTTATTCAAAATTTATTCAAATCCAAACAATATATTTATTCAAAATCATGCAAAATAGTTTGTATTTTATTTATTATTAATAATAATAATAATAGTAATGTTATTATTATTTTTTAATAATACATTTATTTTATGTATACCACTACTAATCATAATAATAATAATAATAATAATAATAATGTTATTATTATTTATTAATAAAAAAATTATTTTATGTATAATAATAATAATATAATAATGATCATCATTATTATTATATTATTATATTATTAAATCATACTTTTTAGTATTTTCTCTAGTTTTATCGTGCCATGCATGTTGAGCCAGTTTTGTGTCCTAAAATGACCCCAAACATGTTTTAATTTGTTTTTCAGCTCAGTGAAGTCCCAGTTGTTGCATTAGTTCCTCGTGCAGCATCTTAATTTTTCCTCTAATCACCGATTAATAAAATGATTTGTTGCTCACTCTGCATTGCTTGTTATGCGCTTATTAAGCATTTCATTTAGTTTCTAATCAACACGAGCACTCGGCTCCAAATGATGCCCTTATCCAAGTCAAAATCCCATGATTCACCTCCTCCATGGACCTTTTATTCTATTTATTATCACATGGAGCAGAGCAGAGTTTGTAATGACCCCAGCCTGCTCCATGCTTAATGGTGCGAGCGGAATAAGGAGGAGATGATTCTGTTGGAGCTCGGGCCAATGGAGATGTCTTTAAGTGAACCATGAAATGTTGTAAATTTGAAAAAGCTGCAGTTTTATCTGAATTTTACAGAGAGATGCTTCAAGAGGTGATATGAAGAAAAGCTCGCGCCGAGAAACGATTAGAAATAATAATAATAATAATAAAAAACAAGTCAGGCAGAGGTCACCGTGTGAGGGATGCTGATCCTATCAGTGTGTGTGTGTGTGTGTGTGTGTGTGTGTGTGTGTGCGTGCGTGTGTGTGTGTGTGTGTGTGTGTGTGTGTGTGTGTGAACTGAAGCAGGAATGATGACAGATTTTCATGAAAGCTCAGCATTAAACTAGACAATATGAACACTGGCTGTTTCTAATTGTTGTTGCTGTAATAAATAAATAAATAAATAAATACAATTTCTGCTTATTTATTCACCACAACAATAGTCATAATAACATTATGCTGAAGAAGAAAAAACGTTTAGGATTTTTTTTTTCCAGCTGAATTAAAAAGACCAGAATTGTGATTTATTTATTTTTTTTTTTTATATCCACGCAAATTATTCTTACGGAACTAAATTTAAAAAACACATTGCATCAAATAAAACTCAGCATAAAAAGCATCAAGTTCTGATGAAACTAAATATTGTTAAAATCGTAGTGATTTGAGCTCGAGGCAGAATTAAAACAGAAAGTTGTGTAAATTAAAAACATTTTAAAAAAAATCACATGACTCAATTTAGAGTCAGGCCTTTTTACTATTTATGTTTATTAGAAACTGCAGCAGAGAGCTTTTATTCTGCTGCCAATCAGAGCAGAGCACCGGAGTCACATTGTCCAGATTAAATAAATAAATAAACAAACAAATAAATAAATAAATAAATAAATAAATAAATAAATAAATAAAATTAAGCACCGACTCAAACTTTAGGCAATATTTCTGAATCCGAGGAGTCTGGGTCAGATTTCCCTGCAGACAGATGCAGGTCCTGCTGCTGCACACTCT